CTGTAATAGAAAATAGTGCTAATAAGAAAACACTACAAATTATTTTTTGCAAAGAGAATAAAAAGAAAAGAAAAAAAAGTGACAAATTTAATCAAAATCAAAAACAGTGATGCAAAGGCTAATAGTTAATTAAAAGGGAATGACCCTTCAGTGATCTGCCTGACCAGAAGTCATCTCCCTCCTCCCCGGGAGGAAATCTCAGAATCCAGGGGAACCTCCACCACCCCAGAACCATGAACTCTGCAGTCTGCCATTTGTAGCGTGACTGGGCCGCTGCTTGAGGAATACACTTTCCTGATTATGTCAGGCAGGAAGCGAGTAACTCAGTTTACATTTACAGTGAAGAGCACACCGCTGTTTCCCTGATTATTATTATTATTGAAAAATATTGAAAATGAAGTGAAATATTATCCTGGTAGCAAAAATGAAACACACATATTGCTTCCCATGACCATGAGCTGCGTAGGTGGCAGGCAGATTGATGCAAGCATATCCAGATAAATCAACTCCAGAGGGCCACAATCTCCCACTGGTAGATTAAAATGTCATTCCAGTGATCCCAATTTAACCCTTTGACACAAACTTGTATTAAGAGATAACTGAACACTGAAAACCTTAGCCTGACATTCACGAGCCACCAGTTCAAAGATTTTTCCTTCAAACTACATTGTCAAAGACCATGGAGATAATTAGTCTATTCTATATCATGAAAGAGTGATTGACACTCCAGCCATTGGAAAAAACCTCACACTGGTCCATTTGGAGTAGCGAGTAGTCAGTTTCTCTTTCCACTTGGATTTTATACAATTACAATTATATAGAAATGCTCTTACACAAAGCAACGAATAAGTGAGGAAGCAGGGCCTGCAAGTTCCTGGAGCAGTTGGGGTTAAGGGCCTTGCTCAATGGCCCAATGGTGAAATCACTCACCCAGTCATGGGATATGAACCAGCACCCTTCCAAGTACAAGCACAAAGTCCTATCCCACAGAGCCACACACTGCCCAATATAACTCAATATGTGATGCCCTACTAATCACATTTCTGCCAAATACTTCTGGACAGCTGTGTTAGAAAGGATTCTATATAAAAACAAATTAAAAGTTAAGCGAGTAATTCAGAGGCCATTTAAAACCATAATGAATAGTACAGCCATGACACATAGTCAAACAAATGTATCGCCCAATAACATAACAGCTTTTATGAAAAGCATTTCGAATCTTATAATCAGCTTCCGCTTATGCTTGTGGACACTGCTGAAATATATGCTGCGCATAAACCACAATTCTTCGACATCCCAGCAGTACAAAAGCGGCCGCAGAAAGCGGAATTCCTAGCCCTCCCAAGAACCGGTCTGTGTGACCAGTCAACCAAACCACAAGGGACATTTCAAACTGCCTGCTATACAAAATACAAAAACACATCTGCGCTAAGCACTCAGAACATCAAATGTAAAATATATTACATAATATGTGGAAATTGCTTCACAGCTATAAAACCTTGCACATCTTCCCGAAACCATCAAAAAAAAACAAAACAAAAACAGCGTAGTTCTTACGAGAACCCCAGTAGGTGATGACATAACCTTGACTTTTATCTCTGTACCTGTACCTTCTACAAATTAAGTAAATCAGTTATTTGTCCAAAACTACAACTACACATAATTAATACATAACACTAAACTTACATGCAACACACAAATTCAAATGATTCATGCACAGTGTCATACCTAGAGAACACTATATACTCAAGTGTTCCTATAAACGTTGTAGTTGCCAGATGAACAAATACGGGGGGGGCACAATTTAATGCAGAAGATCTGTTCATTCAGGGGGTTGGGTGAATGAAGCCAAATTAAAAATATTTGGGGTGGGGGTTCCTCTCAGACACATTACTACTGCCCAAGAGAAGGGCAGGGCAAGTATGGGAAAAGGTTCACCACAGCACTCCTCTGATCTGCTTCAGCAGCCCACGCCGAAGTTGTTTTACGGTCCACAGGGGGAAGGCATTTATGAATCGAACCAGCAAGTCAGTACAACTGCTTCACAATGCTTCATGGAAGTTGGAGGCAGCTGGCAGTTGCTGCGGTTTAAAAACAGCCACAGGTAACCTTGTAATGGACTTCCCCCCCCCTCTCCCGAGTTTTGCAAAGAGCACTTACCCTGACGAGATTACTGACAGCCGCCTGCACCGCGGCCACGGGTCCGGTGAGATCCGGGATCGCCTTGCCGTCCACCTCACCTTCTTCGTGCATTATTACCAAGTGGGATATCTGCTGAGCCACAGGCTCCAAGATACTCTCTATGGTCTTCGTGTGGAAAACCGGCATCTTGAAAACTTATTCCCGCTATCCGAGAAAGGGAAAAATCGTCTTCGCTTTGAAGGCTTGCCGTTACTTTATGCGCCCCGCCACTTAGGAGACGGAATCCAACAGCGATCGCCGGACAAGGTGTACTTCGCGGGATAAAGAAAGTCCCACTTCCAATCAAAACCATCAATGGTGAGACTAGGCTCCAGAAAAGCTGCGTGCGAAAAACGCCAAGCGTCAATAGATTTCATCGCCGCCCCCCAACCAATCAGAGAAGGAGCTTTAACTTGGAAAGCGCGCTTCCCATTGGTGCGCTCCAAGCACTACGGAGCTCACGTTAACCCCGCCCTAATTTTGGGCGGAGTTTGCCGGGGAGGCGAGCGCTTCTCCCGATTACGTAATACATTCTCATGCCCTAAAAAGGAAAATATTGGAACCGCACGGGCGAAGTAGGAGTAATGAAGGAATACATTCATTACAGCGACGTATTGTTGTATTTGGAAACGACGTTGGGAGCCGTGTCCTATTAGGTATTCCAATAATTTGTTTTAATTGATGAACATCTTAAGAGAGCAGTAGTAGTAACATCCCAACTAAAACATTTCCAGTAATAGAACCATGTTAAATAGCTTTTTTGAAGAAAATGTTTTGCAATAGGGTGATTGAATAATGCGCTCAGTCATTTCATTAAGGATGTAAAAGTGGAACTGAATGAATAGTCACGTTCTAATGACCTATACAGCGTGAAAAACATCAATACTCACTGGGTGGTAAAATGTGTATACCAAAGACGTTAAATTTTTCCAAAGATTTTAATATAGACTTCAGCTTTATGTCCAAGTGTAAGCAGATACCAGTAAATGCCACACCTTATTCTTGCTTAAAGAGGTGCACATTAAAATTAAAGCAAGAACTCAGTTGTAAAGGTCAAGCTAAAAACCAGTAGTTTTATTCTGAAGGAATACAGTCTATTCAGGGCTGTTCTCTGGACTGTATTAATCGAAAAGGTGCAAAACTTGTCCGAAAATGGTCGTTGACCAGATAAAAGTTACACATCACACATCTCCCTTTAAGGCTCTAACACAAGACACACACACACACACACAAACCAGATATCTGTTCTGTACAGAATCTCATGTAACTTTTTCATATAAACACACTTTAGTCGTGCTGGCAAAAATAAACATATAGTAGCATTTCGACAATATATTGTCCCAATATGGTCTGAATAGTTTCAAACACATTAATAATACATAGGATAGAAATGTGGATATGTATTTATGCACAATGATAAGCAATAATGGGCAGTATATAGATATCTTTGTGAGAAGCGTAAAGCCCTTGCATATTCATCATCTCCCCCAGAATCTAATATAACAACACCAAAACTGAAGCATTAAATAAGATTGCCAGTTGAACCTGCAAAGGAATGTGCACAGTGTGCCCCGAGAGAGTGCAGGGCGGCAGTGGTCTTCCTAAAAAGGAAGAGTACCAAAAGGAGGAATCCAGGAAGTCAGTCTGAGGGGAAGCACATGTAAACACGGGGGCCTTGATGCACGACGTTTAGTTTCTTTTTGGAATGCTTCTGTATGCTTCTCAGCAAATCAGAGGCATTCACAGTCATTTTTTTTAAAGCTTACTACGCACAACAGTATTAACAAAGCACACATTAATGTTTAGTTGCTTGGTATAGTGCTTTGTTTATATTCCACTAATATAAATGATATTCCAGCTGCTTTACAGGTCCAAAGTGTTCCTTTTTTGGTTGGCAAATGTTTTTCTACAAGATCAACCTTGTCCTATGGATCTCTGAAAGGAATGTGTAGTTTCATATTTTAGGTCTAAGTTAATATTTTTGTTTGTAAAACTATATTTTGAAGGCATTATTACAACTATTATTACTGCATGTTAGTACAGCTATTTTCTTTCTGAAAAAAATTCAGTCCACATAAAAGATAACATTTATATACAGTGTTGACCATTTATCAGCTTGTGGGATGGTGTGTGGCTTAGCGGGTTAGGACACGGTACTCATGATCGGAAGGTTGCCGGTTCTGATCCCAAAGCCGATAGATTAATGCCACCACTGGGCCCTTGGCAAGGGGAAGTGATTAGTCATTGTTGACACACCACAGTGCATAATAATGAAATGTGTCCCCTGCATTTAACCCATATGTGACATAGCAAGGGGCAGATAATTAAGTGCTTGGAGGTGCTACCTTGCTGGTCGGGGATTTGAGCCAGCAAACATTCAATTACATTTGTGCTTCCCAGGTTCCTTAACCCCCGATTGCTTTAGACAACTCTGTGACACCCAAGCTTGATCTTGTTTGTCTCATGGAAAATCTATGGAGAAAAAGACAACTTCTTCAAGAGGGTGAATAAAGTATTTAATAAGTAGAATATCCATATTGAGATATCTCTTACAACACCATATAATGGGCAAATAACATGTTTTACAATGAACTGGACCCACTCCATCTGCAATGATTAATTGTGATGACAAATACGGAGACAAATTTGTCAAAACATGACCTTGTATGCACTGTTGTTATGGCAAAATGTAAGTACTGTAGTAAGATATTCACCTGGGGAAGGTGAATAAGATTCAATAGGAGACACTTGAGTAATTAGGGGTTTATCAGCTATTTTTACTGGGCATTATTTCATGTGTAAAACAACACAAAGGCAAATGCATTTAACCAATTCAATGAAACAGGGAGAGGAGGAAGAGGAGAGCACTGTGACATACATTAATTGCGACGGCAAACATACCGGAACCAATTGCACTGGTGTGCAATGAATGTTTAAAGTGAAATCTCCCACCTGCCAGACATTAAAGGGTTTATGTTGTTTGGTAGCTAGTTCCCCCCCCCCCATCTTTTCCTGTGAAGATTAGAATATGTATTGTTCTGGCCAGAGTGGGAGGATCAAGGGACATCTGGCTCAGAGGATCTGTCATTCTTCCATAATGAGATTCAGAAATCTAATCTTGCCAGCAAAACAGTAATTCGGTACAAGCAGGGGTAATAGAGCCTATTAAACATTGGTGAAAGTTCTACAGATGTTTCTGCACACAACATGTTTAAATACACCCTGCACTGGTCTTTAAAATACTGCTCTATACGAATACATATTATATTTTTATAGTTTTATAGAGGAAAATGTATTAAAAACAAACGTGTGTTTAAATGATCTCAGTATGGCCTGTAAATAAGGAGATTATGCGTACACAAAACAAATACGTTTATAATTGTTACCATTTATCATGACCCTATTGCGCCCTCGTGTGGAACGATTAATTTAAAACGAGTTTGTTCTACAGTCAACAGTTAAAGTTTGAGTTTCTTTTCAGTGGCATAATGCACTTCTTTTTTGCCGTTATATTTTGCAATATATGTACTGCAAAGAAGAAGGAAAAAAACTAAACACCTATAGTAAACGTATGTACTCTTTCAATAGATTCAAAAGTTTATTACTGTGAAGATAAACTTATTGACATATTAACCATATTTAAACATAATCAAGCAATAATCCTGTTTCAAAACAAATCAGAAATATATGCTTTATTTTAACCTGATAACAAAAAAAACTTTTTGCCTTAACAAATATGAATATGGCAAATTGGAAATATTGGTTATTAAAAAAATGAACCGTTCTACAAATATAACCAGATGTAACTAGTACAGCTAAATGTAATAAATGTAACAACATCTGCTCTGACAGCCTGGTGAAATGTACAGGCCAAGACAAAGACATGCATGCATTCAATGACATTCTTACTGTTTTTGTATTTTCTGTTTTGTTTCTAGCGTTTCCATTTCAAGCACTAGATGTTCTTTTACTTGGATTTTATTCTTTTTTTTTTTATTCCTGAAAACCCATCAAATGACTTTAGTGGAGACATTGAGAGTTTACAAGTAAAATAAAAGCTTTAACAACGTCCAGTTGAAAATTCTGAGAAGTATAAAGTGGGTGTTGGTTAAAGCCAAATTGACGATTAAATACTTTATAAACCTTTATATTTGGAAAAAAAAAGAATTTGACGAGAGCATATAAAAAAAAGAACCTCCCCGGGTAACTGTACCCCGGAATGTGAAGAGATGTTGTTGTCATGGCTAAGGAACAGCGCCTTGCTCTTTCTTATGCATTCACACAGTTGCCTGTGACCTTTCCCACAGGACGAGCCAGACCCTTAGGGCAGACCTACATTCTCTGTGATCCACTTGTTGTAATTCGGCACTCTGGTGTAGACGCCTGGTCGGAATTCTCTGGAGCACCCCTCGCCCCAGCTGACTATACCAAAAAGGTACAAACGACCATCTCTGTCGCACACCAGAGGCCCCCCCGAGTCTCCCTGTAGGAGACAAGATGACAGACAGGTCAAGCTACATTTCTCTAAGGAGAATTATGATGGGCATTTCTAGCTATCCATTCCATATTCCATTATTACTACTAACAGACTACGTTAAAGCTGATCAGTACAGACTAGGGTGACCAGATAATCCATGTCAGGGAGGACACTTTGAGCTACTTCGGGTTTTACAAACTACTTTCAAATTGAAAGGCTCCTGTGCTCGGCTAAATAGTTCAGCTCTTCTTGTGCTTTGACTGGTTTGTTTCCTTGACTGAAAGACTCATCCAGCTGTTTCATATCAGCATTAGTGACACATGCATGATTATAGGAGACTAACCAATCAGCACACAGCAAGAACTCAGTGCTCAAGTCAAATCCAGGTCCGTTTAATTGAAATGGTAATTTACAATTCCTGTCCTAGCTCAGAGTGTCCTCCCTGACATGGATTATCTGGTCACCCTAGTACAGACTGTCCCCGGAATGGCTTCCACATCAACAGACAGGTTGTCAGAATAGATCAATCGCACTGACTCATGCCCTAAAATGAGACTGTAAGATGCGTGTGAGGCTGGGATGGTCGCATTACCATACAGGGGTACATTTCCCAAAAGCACAGTTGCTAACAACGTTAGCTAACGTTAGCTAACAACATTAGCAACTTACGTAGTTGGAAACATGCAACTGAATTGTGCTAACTATGTATGTTGCAAACAAGCGCTGCTGGGAAGCGTTACCCCAGTACAGTAGCTTCCCATGAGACATATCATAAGGCAGACAGCGCCCACTGGGTAGCACAGTGCTACCAGGTTTACTGCTGCCCAAAATTTATTTTAACATAATCTACTTGTTTGTTTTTATTTTTTTTTAGTCGTCTTACGTCACATAGGTTGTAAGTCAGGGGCAGTCTGCACTTGCACATTTCTTGCATGATGATGCATACACCATACATACCAAGTCATTCAGTCTGTGGCTTTGAAATTGAAGGTTATGAGGGATTTGGTTCATTTTAAATGATATTTTCTCCTCAATGAAAAAAAAAATCAAGGGGCCAAACTATAGCTGGGAAAAGAGTCAACTGATTTATTTTAATGACTTAACTGCAATAAGCTGTAATTCTGGAGTTCTTTGTATCGGTACCATTCATGCTGTTATATTAACAGCTATTTAAGTCTGTAGATGAAAGTGATTGGGGAATGTAAAAACATTAATATACCACACCTTGCACGAGTCTACCTTCCAGTCAGGGCTGCCAGCACAAAACATGTTTTTCGTCACCAGGTTTCCATAGTAATTCCTACTTGTGCAGACCTCTTGAGGCAAAATGTTCACTTTTGCCTCTCTTAGGTATTGTGAGTTGTGCCATAATCCTGTCGTGATTAATAACAATATTGTGAGTTAGGTTGTACACATCAGGACATTGGTCGATGAGTGTTTGGAATATCTGGAGAGGTCTGACCTTCCCGCTCCTTCCCATAGCCAGCAATATAGCAAGAGTCCCCAGGACGCAACATCAAATGGGCAGGGGGCAGACAGACGGTCCTAACAGAGTCTGTCTCCTTCGCACATGTTCTGCTGTTTGTGGTGATCTTCAGCAGTGCTAAAAATACCAGAAAAAGACAATGGGCTGTAAAACGTCTTGAGAAAAACATGTTGTTCTGCTCTCTCATTGTCAAAGTTTCCGTAACGGTGCAAGTGACAAGTGCCCCCATCTCTTGACAAATCAGCCCACATTTTGGTTTTGGGTGGACCCAGAGAAGACCCCATTCAGAGCATCTTGTTTTCAGCACCAGATGTTAATGACCTTGGCTCACAGTATTTATAGCCTTGAGAGAGACCACAAACAGACCACAACTCCTGGATTTCACCCATTTCACTTAATAGACAGTGCATGTTTTACAAATGTACTCTAAAAGACCCACAGAGTTACCATATAATAATCAGTACAATCTCCATAGCCATTGTCTCAAAATGTACTAAAAATGCTACGTCCCACTGAAAATGACCATCACCTATGTCATTGTCATAACTCCCATCACTATTGTCAAATCCTGGGTGAATAATGATTTGCTCGACGTTGAATTTCTGCTCTTTTCCCAAGCTTGTCTCATTGAGAGCATCTTTTCCAAGAAAGACAGACAGGTGGCGAGTGTTCAAGGGCCTTGGGGAGGGGGGGGGAGGGGGGGAGGGAGAAAAATCCACATAGTTAAAACAAAATCCTGAGCGATTAAAATGGAATAATCTTTCATGGCATAAGTAGCATATTGCGTTTTAAAGGTCAACAACTACTTGGAGATCTATTAATAACTTTTATGAGTGGCTTTTTAAGTCTTTATTGTGACATTAATGGGGTGTCAGAGCAGAGTGCATGCCGTTAACGTGCTGTCGACCAATCACCTGTCAGAAAAGCAGTGGGCTGCTGTAAGAACCCAGCAACGTGAGATCAGGTTGCCCCCGCACAGGAATACGTGCTTTTTAGCCTGACGTCTCCAGAAGATCGACGCGATCCACGGCTGCGATTGCGCCGTGGTGACCGTTCCCCCGACAATCTTCATCAGACTCTGGGGCCTCTGTCCACATGCTGGTGCATCTGGAAGACGCGGCGATATTGCGTTATGACTTTTATTGTCTTTAGAAGCATTTCCACAGCCTTGAGGATGTCGACTCTGAGATCATGTCCTAGAAGGGCCTCAGTTGTAGTACTCTTTAGAAGAAAGAGTACTCTGAATAGTACTCCGAATAGTACTCTGAATAGTAATCTGAATAGCTCCAGTGAAGGATCAAGCTGTTGAAACAGGCAAAAGCTGAGTTGCTTTGGACAAAGTGCAGGAAAAAAACATTAAAGCTGGATGTACTTTACAACAACAATAAAGCTGTTACTTGCGGTAGGCCTTCATAACAAATAACGCTATCGGTGTGACTGAATACATCTTGACTTTGGATTAATATCAGCACAGCTGGGCTTATGAGACATATTCTATTTCTATTCTGACTGCAAAACATGCTGTATTTATACTGAAAGAAATAAACAAATATATTGATGACATTGAGCTGTCGTATTTACGTTTGCAAAAATGTATCCCTTTCTACTGGAGAAGAATTCTCCGCCATTCCAAAAGGTTCAAGTAATGAAATGACAGATAACAAAAGGGATCATTTTAAGAAAGCTCTAATCTCTTAAACACATTAGAATGCATTGGTCAAGTCCACGGTATGAGGAATGATGCTCTCGATAGGTGATGTTTGTTTGTCACTACATTGGGGATGAGATCTTCTGCTCACCTGCTGGTGTCCCACAGTGTGGGATGTCACAGAACTCCTGTACAATCTGGTGTCCCTGCTTCACATGGCACCAGGGTCTTTCCCTGTGGTCTGGATTTCTTGGGGATGAGCAATTTGAACACAGATATCAAAGAATGCAAGAATTTGCCAGATGAAGAGAAATTCTTGGTGTCTACAGTAGAGATTCGGAGAATCATGCACTAAAGAAAAGCCAGATTCTAGTCTTTCTGTGTAAACATTTGTTGCCTCAGTGAAACCTTGCCTAAACACAAAGATAAGGCATGACAAAGTGTTTTTTTTTTTTATAGGTTTCAGTTCATTCATCCATCATATTCAACCTGTTCAAGGAAATAAGTCTGAATTTCTGTGGATGCTTTTCTCAAGAATTTGGAGATGTTGTACTTTTGACTAGATTTAATTTTCATACTTGAAGAACAAAGAATGGTCTTCAGTTCACTCTTACCTGCAATAGTTGTGGCTCCAAAGACCTAGAATCAGTGCATCCACTCCTAAGATTTGTTGATTGTACTCGTAGTTCCAACCAAGACATTTCTGTCCACTTCCTGAGATGGCTACCCGTCCTCTGTACTGATGCCCATTGCCAATGAAGCAGTTAGCTGACTCCTCTAAGCAAAACGGCACCATAAGCAAAACGGCACCATAAGCAAAACGGCTTCACAGCTATATTGGCATCTATGAAATGGCAGCATGCATTTGTAAGCAGACATGGAAATTTCAGGTCCAGAGAGTCCAGATCAAGATTTTGTTTCAACCAACCAATTGAGTGTAAAGAATCATTGACACGGAGTATTCAAATGGTTGGTTGAAACAAAATCTTGGTCTGGATTTATATTTCGTGGACCTGAAATTTCCACCTCTATTTTTAAGGAACTGACTTGAGCAGACGGCATAGTCAAGGTAGTAAGTGAATGACAGACGGGTCCTCACCTATTTCACAGTTGCGGCCACTGTATCCTCTGGGGCAGATACAAATCGTACGCCTTTTGCTAAAAAGGTAGGGTATGCTGATGGAAGTGCCTCCATTTAGGCAGGTGGAAGATAGACCTGTCATTTGCAGACATGTGCAGAGACCAAAACACATTCACTCTTATAATCCAGTCTTTGAAGGCAGGGAAATAGGAAAATAAACAGTGAAAAGACATGAAGTTACCTGAAACTTCAGCTGAATGCATGAGAAAACCTGGTCTCGTGAGTGTCAGCAAACTCTGCACAGAAGACAAAGACTGTCAAGCAGGCTGAAATGTCTTTCATTATTTTTCTGTTTCTGATACCTAAGCTAAGTCATATTCCCAAATGGAAAGATAGGGAAAATAAGATCAGGTATGACATTATCAGGTCAGGGCAGGTCAGGCTGGGAAGCATGCACTGGTACAGCGCGTTCCCACACCCACCGTGTGGCGAAACATCTCGGCATGACAGCCCGGAAATCTGCACTTACCATCTTAGCACCGAAAATTACTTCCACGTTTGCAGTTAAGAACAGAAGGAGTTTTAGCATTTTGAAGATCCTCCTTGTCTTTCTTAGAAAAATCTAAACAAACGCAAGAAAAACCAATTCACAAACTTTCTCGGCTGAGGTTTTCCTAGTCTATATTTTCCACCCAATCTTGTGCCATTTCTTATTATATTGCTTCGCACAGGGATTCTTTAAACATCTGGTATGACAAAACAGGGATTATAATCGGCAGTGTAGACGTCGTGGACAGATAATGCAGGCGGACAACTTACATTTTCATTCATTTATCCATATAGCAGATGCTTCTGTTGCAAACATCTTAAAAACCTTCAGACACAGTAGAATGAATGAACCCTTACTCCATACCAGGGGTGTCGCTAGACCCCTTTTATTGGGGCACGTGCCCCAGTATTTATTTGCTATGCCACAGTAAAATCTCACGTTCAAGTCAAATGGGTAACGGGAGGTGGGGGGACCTGTACCCCAGTGGAGCTTTACGTCTAACAACACCCCTACTCCACAAATGATTTCCAGGGGTAACCTAACCTACCCTAACCTAACCTAACCTAACCTAACAACAAGGTGACTATTATGTAACAAAGTACAATAAAATATAATGACAAGCATCCCAGACAATGTCTAAATGCATGCATGGATATACAAGTAAGAATAAAATTCTGTTTAAGATTAAATTCATTCTCCATACAACATTAAGAAGCTAATTAGTTCATAAATGAATAAGAAGTTATTCTTAATACTAGCAATAATAAAGGAAATGCATAATAGAAGACAGCAATACATTTGTAATGGAATCTCTGTGATCAAACAGTTCAGACTGCAGATAATGGATTGAATCTTAATACACTTATGTGAAGCATCTTCACAGGACAGCTATAATTTTAACTTGTAAAATCTGAGAAAGCTCACCACATACGAATATAGAAGATCAGAGATGAAATCCGCGTGATGCTTTGTGGATGTCTTCATGCAGCTGAAGCAGTTCTTTATTTAACGGACCATCATGTGACCGCCTGGTAGGAGGGATTTTTGCAGATGATTTATTTTTTGTTAACCTTCCTGTGGTGTTTGGGACGGCACCAACCCGTTTTTAAGTTTAAAATGCATAACGCACCACCTAAATTTGTGTACTGCATCAAGGCTTTTTGACTTTGCCAGGAACATCTATTTAAACAATCAAAATCAAGGCAAGGCATGCCCATAAATGTAAGGCAAGATAAGACCAATTCAGTTTATTTATATAATTCTCTTGAGGTTTATTTTACCATTATTTTTTTTAATTGAAAACGAGAGGTATGTTGTCAAAAGAAACGTCCAGAAAGTCACACCAAAAATATTAAAACCAATCTTTTCATGGATAAGGAAGCCTAACCAAGAGTAAGGTAACCAAGAGCTAAGAAACAAATTGGATGATAATTGTTTTGAGGGCATTTCATGACTGATTTAAGACATGGGTCAGCAGTCAGCACCGACCCTTCTAACATAAGAGATTGGAACAGAAAACTAACACAGTCCGAAGGTTAAATATTTAAATATTCCTTCCTCGACAAACTTCAGGTTACCACGAAGAAAAGTGTACTGAATGGTACTGAAAACCGATCAGATGAAACACATTCAGTAAAGGGGATCTTTTTAAACCTTGGTGCTTTTCCGAAGGGTTCTTAGACTGCTCTGCTACACTCTCAGAAAAAAAGAGTACCAATTTGTACCTTTGCTTGTCACTGGGGCTGTACCCTCAAGGGTCTGCCAATTGTACCCTTAACTGTAGGTAACTGTACCTTTTAAAAGGTACAGAAATGGACTCTGAGGAACATCCCAGAGGTACAAACAGCATTAATGTACCATCGATGGTACAGAAATGTTTCTCAGAGTCCATCTCTGTACCTTTTAAAATGTACATTTACCTGCAGCTAAGGGTACAATTGGCAGACCCTTGAGGGTACAGGCCCAGTAACAAGCAAAGGTACAAATTGGTACTCTTTTTTCAGAGAGTGTTATACTACCACTACTACTACTACTACCAATAATAATAATAATAATAATAATAATAATACGACCAGCCCAGGGTGAACCCCGCCTCCCGCCCGAAAGATGCTGGGATTGGCTCCAGCTTCCCCACGACCCAGATGGATTAAGCGGTATAGATGATGGATGGATGGATAATAATAATAATAATAATAATAATAATACAACAACAACAAAGTACTACTACTAATAATAATAATAATAAATAAATAAATAAATTATTAGTACAGTAGTAATAGACAAACTGTAAAATACCTTTATTATCTAGTAACTATAGATTACAAACTAGTACATATAGGTATACACACGATAAAAATGAAATATCTGGTTAATATAATCCGGAATAACGTGTCATTATTTTTTTGCTACTTTAGTACATTTTATATTTAATAGATCTGTATTGGGCAATATTACCTAGATGTTATATATATCCAAGCCCTGACAGATAATCAGACAATCTAAATATGGAAAAAATGAAACGAAAGGAATCCATGAACATTAAAGTGCATTCATGAAATTAAATAATGATACGTTTAAGAACAAAAAGCAAATTAAAAAATCACAAAGGAAATTAAAGACGACATTGGACTTTCAATTAAGACATGGGAAATCTTGCTGAACTGCATGACAGTTATACATTTGGTATTAACAAGATGCGTGCTGGAAATCCCACGGACAACTCGAAAGAAAAATAAGTGCAAGCGAAAACATCCGCCCAGCTTATCCAGCTCACCACCTACTACATATACCACGCATATTTATCTCTCTTGTAGCAAAAACCTTTATATAAAGAAAGAAGAAAACAGAGTAATCATGTCTGACTAGAGGAAAAGTCGTAAATACAGAGTGACTATCAAGGGACAAGCAGAGAAAAGGTAAGGATCGATCTACACGGCGCGGCGGGATGGTGACTTGACACTTGTTTGTTTTTCGTTATTATTAATCGTGACTCCCGAACGGGTAACGTGACTGCTGGGAAGGCGGCAGTGTGCGCGCTGCTGCGGGCATCTGAGTCCCTGACTCCGACGGTGTCACTGTTGTCGCTGGCGGACCTGGAGGGCGTATAACGCGGCGTGGGGCTCAGTCAGCCGGCGATCGACAGTATTTATTTAATTAGACAAAGCAGGGAGGGAGAGGTGGAGGGGAGAAACACAGCTTCCGTCTTGTTTACGCTTGTCCTCCATGGGGACATGTGGCTGTTCGGCTCAATTGTGTTCACCGGAGTATGCGTGGTTAGATCGGGCCGTCCTGCTGAGTTTATGCCCTCCCCCGAGTACTAAGTTTAGTTGATGCATCGTTGGCTAGCTAACCGGTTAGCTTAGTCAAGGAGTTCACAGGCCTAGCAAGCTGCCGGCTCGCATCGATTGACCGGGCGGGGATGCACCTCGCCGTACGTGGGCTGAACTGATTTAGCCTCGGATCTCGCTCCCCGACCGAGCCTAAATGTGGGATTCACCCCGGAGTGGAGCTAACTGAGACCGACTGTGAGGTGAGGAGGCGAACTGCGATCTCTGTGCCGTGTTTACTTTGAAAGCGGGGGGTAAACAAGGGCGCGCTGGTTTCCGGTTAGCCTGCCACCATGCTAAAGCCCGGGCCCACTAGCAGGCTGGATAAGAGGCGGCTTCGTGCGCTTTCGTTTTCGCTTAGACGTTTAGTCATTTTTTTCCGGTCTGTGAGTGTGGAGTCGGGGAATAATAGACGCCGATCACTTAATTTTTGTGCTTTGATAACTGTCACTGGACCAATGGTTTAACCATGAACGCGGTGTATTAGCAGGCTGATCGGGCTCGATCGCACCTTTGACTGCTGGCAAATGGAGAGACCGCCGTTCAGACAGAGCCAGCAATGCGGAGCCTGGGAGATGAAGGAGAAGCTGGGCACCGGAGGCTTCGGCCACGTCTATCTCTACCAGCACCAGGTGAGGGCTGCCGTCTCACTGCACCTTTCCTGGTCATCGTGTTAAGAGAAGCGGCTTGTCAGTATCCGTGATGTCAGTCTAACTGCGGAGTAGATGCTGTGAGTCTGTAAAGGTTGTGAGGAAATGTAACAATGTAACAACTGCTTGATTACACGATAAACACCACTGGAGTCAGTATCCGGTAACTACCAGAGAAAAAGTTAAAATTAACCATGTAAAACACAACGAAAACTTTTAATAATGGAGTATCAGACTTTTTCTGTGGCTATGTGATAATGTAGTTTTACAGTAAATTCCACATGCTTAGTCTATAGTTAGAAAACTAGTGGAGTAAATCTAAGGGTACACATTGAATTTAAAGTTACTTTGGGATAAATGACTAGTTTATACTTGGGGAAAAGTGTGACTTGAGGTCTATTTGGTGTTACGGTTGGCAGATCAATCTATTCATGCTGTGGATGTGCCTGACGTCTGAGGGTTGATTGTCTGTAGTGAGTGAGGATGTGGGGATCCTCTTATGTGACCCACAGTGTATAAATGATGAACAGCAGGTAGCAGTGTGTGAATCTAGAAAGAACATGTCTTTAGTATCTTTTGGCAGGCATGGGGCAGACCGTGGCACCCAATAAGTAACCTCTTATTTAAGGAGAAAAACAAGAGCAAGATGTTTATAAACAGACAGATTTGTTTACACGAGGTATATTTTTTTTCCTGTTTGCTTGTACCTAATTGTATTTATTTTTTAAAGGAAACCTCGGAAAAAATTGCACTCAAACTTTGTCGCCTTGAGCTGACCCCAAAGAACAAAGAGAGATGGAGTCGTGAGATCCAGATCATGAAAAAGTATGTTGCTGAAATCCCAGCTGACTAATTATTGTATTTTCTGTGTGCCTCTGTAGTGATTTGGAAAAGATTCTAATTCGGGGGCTCAGGAGTCCAGTCTCAGTTTATGGGTGTCTGGACTCTTTGAATCAGTATGTCGTTTTATGTCCCTTAACTTTCAGTATTCTTCATGATGCAGGTTAAATAACATCAACGTAGTAACAGCTAGAGATGTGCCGGATGAAATTAAGCACATAGCATTGAATGATCTCCCACTCTTAGCGATGGAATACTGTTCCAGAGGAGATCTCCGAAAGGTATGGAGCAAAATGACACTAATTAGGCCATTGGTATGATGGCAGAGTCACTTGTTGGGAAAGTACCCTTGTTTTAATCACCCATTCTTGTTTTTGTCATGGCTGTAGCTGCTGAGCAAGCCGGAAAACTGCTGTGGACTGAAAGAGAGTGAAGTGCTATCCTTACTCATCGACGTCGGTACGGTACTAAAAATACACCGTCGCGCGGATGGAACTTGTCAAACTGTCATGAATTTGTTTCCTTTGAACTATATTTACTGAATGGCTGATATTCAGTTTAAGATCAGGATATTTTTGTCGGCTGGAGTTTCTTTATATAAACATCAGAAGTGGTTTGCGTTTGCATTTTGTGTTGCAGGGTCGGGGATCCAGTATTTGCACGAAAACAAAATAATACACAGAGACCTTAAACCAGAAAATGTGGTGCTTCAAGAAATTAATGGAAAGGTATTTCTAGTTGAAGAGTCATTGTTTTCCTTTTTCCAGGAAGTTATTTTTAGACTCGGTGGGTATTTATGATAAATTCTTGTTCTTTTCCCACAGTTGGTTCACAAAATAATAGACTTGGGCTATGCCAAAGATCTTGATCAGGGGAGTCTTTGTACATCTTTTGTGGGAACGCTGCAGTACCTGGTGAGAACACAGCACTTCTTAATCCTGCCATCGTCTTTCTGTCATTCTTTCCTGTCAATCTGTGGATGTTGCACTGAGAAATTTGCATAACGCTTTACTTAAAGCACCCATCCATAATGCATTATAGATATCTTTATAATGCATTTATAAACTATTATAAAAATGGCTATAACTATTTATAAAACGGCATACATTATAGCCATGTTTATTATGCATTACAATTGTTCCATGAAGCTCCCATCTATGATGTACTATAAATACCTTAATAATGCATTGAATGGCTTATATTAGCCATTATAATGCAATATGAAGGTATACACATGAAGTTATGTATAATGCATTACGTTATATTTTATGATTTTGTTCAGGCTCCAGAGCTGTTTGAGAACAAGCCCTACACAGTGACAGTAGACTATTGGAGCTTTGGCACCATGATCTTCGAATGCAGCTGTGGTTTCCGTCCTTTCCTGCATAACCTGCAGCCTGTGCAGTGGTACAACTGATTTTTTCAAAAAACCAGCATAAACAAACCCTGCTTATGCTTATTTTTCAGTATTTCTTGTGGTGTTACTTTGAAGACCAGCACCGATCTAATGTTTTTAATTTTGGGGCATGTTATTGCATAATTTGTACTGTTATTGACAGTCTATAATTTCTTTTATGTTTACTGATTATCTGGGGGGGGGTGTCTCTGATTAGTGATGAACTCATCAGGTTATACAGAGACTTCAGTCTTCATGAGATTTCTAGAGTTTCTACTGCACTTTTGGTAACAACATTTAAGTTGGATCAGATTGTGTTGGTGGAGTAATTGGTGAAATATTTGATCATCTGACTTGGAAATATTTTATAGGACCAACAAAGTCCGGAATAAGGGTCCAAAGGACATTATGGCTGTTGAGGACATGAATGGGGAAATTAGGTTTTCTACACAATTGCCCTACCCGAATAACCTTAGTCGGTAAGAATTTTTCATCTTCTCTTTCTTCTTATTTTTTTATATTGCTTAGTAATTTTTTCCCCTTCCCAGAATTTAAGATATAAGGTTACGGCTCAATGTCCTTAATCACTCTGCTACCTGCTTCCCTTCAAACACTAAACAGCATAGCAGTAGTCTTTTCTGTGCTCATTAATCTTCAAAATTTAAGGCGATTGTTGTGATTTAAGGACTCTGGTGGAGCATCTGGAAACTCTGCTTCAACTAATGCTGAAGTGGGACCCTGTTCAGCGGGGTGGAGGAATCCACCAAGAAACCAAACAGCCCATGTGCTTCGCTGTTCTGGATCAGATACTGACCATGAAGGTCAGTCAGAGCGACGGCTGTTTTAGTTCCCCAGACATGTGGACTTATTACAAAAAAAAAAAACTGCTCTTCTCCCCCCTCTGGTGGTTGCATGTAGGTGGTGCACATACTGAACATGACCTCGGCCCAGATCCACTCCTTCCAGCTGGGGCCTGATGAGGGGCTCCACGTCCTCCAGCAGCGCATCGAAGCAGAGACAAAGATCGAACATCTCAACCAAGAGCTCCTACAGGAGACGGGGGTTTCCCTGGACCCCAGGAAGCCTGCAGCTCAGTGTGTCCTGGATGGAGTGGTAGGACCTTCCTGTTTGCTCAAATCCCAATATGTATGACTGTGTGATACAGCCCTAAGATGTCCTGTAAGCTAATGATGCTGGTCTTTCTTTAGGTGGTTTAGCGAGAAACTTGTCATTAACTAGGCTGTTTCTCAATTTTTTTTTGCACAGAGGGGGTGGGACAGCTACATTGTATATTTATTTGATAAGAGCCTGACAAAATATTCGGGTCCCTTGAGCTCCCGGCCACTTTCCGAGAACGTCAACTTCATAGGTGAGCAGCTCCCCGGCGTGGTCTTGCTATTCTGGGCATCCACAGCTGCCCACGCTCCTCTTCATCACTCCTGGCTCTGTTTCAGGTAGCTGTAGTGTTTGTGTTTGTTTTTTTTTCTCCTCATTTTTCTCCAGTGAGAGAGCCCAAGACCCAACTGCCTCTGACCACTCTGAAGAAAGTTTGGGGGGAGGCAGTGAGCTACGTCTGTGGATTGAAGGAGGATTATAGCAGGCTGTTCCAGGGTCAGAGAGCGGCAATGTAAGTAATCTTTTGGATTGTTGAGATACCAATAGAGATAAACAAAAAAAAAACATGAGCAATGAAGTAGTGGTGCTTAAGGGGTAATTATGGTGTCCCTGTATCGCAATATTTATTTTGTCCCTGTATGTAACTGCCTATTACCCAGACACATATATAAATATTTTTTCCTTGTCTTCTCTGTTTCTGTAGGCTAAGTCTCCTCAGATTCAACACCAACCTCACCAGACAGAAGAACATAATGTTTGCCGTTTCTCAGCAGTTAAAAGCTAAGCTAGATTTCTTCAAGAGCAGCATTCAGTTTGACTTAGAGAAGTACAGCGATCAGATGCATTATGGGATATGTGAGTTTGTCATTCTGTAACCCCTGGCTTTCAGTATAATTGCAGTGTGGTCGTTGGAAAATGATCAAAGTAGTAATTGTGCACCTCTGTTCTCAGCATTGTGTAAACAATTGATTAATGTAAAACATTAACTTCAACAGAGATCTGTAAGCTTATGTTCAAATTTTAACTTTAGATACTGATAAGTATAGTTTTCTGGAATGAGGAGCATATGATTGAATAATAATGTTTTATTTTTAAATGGTAGTTCTGTTACATGTTTACCAATCCTCAGAAATTAGGATCAATGTCTTCATTGAACTTGTAGATTTTATCTGCTTTGAGTATGAAATGAAGGTGATTTTGCTTATAAAACGCCTGCCGCTGTCCCTTTAAAAGCTTCTGAGAAGATGCTGAAGGCCTGGCAGGAGAATGAGGAGAAGGCAGCTGCCTTCGCACAGGTCAGGCGCCACTTCAAATTCCTGCAAGAAACGGTCTCACATCCAAGAAGCTCCTCCTCGCCCCTGTAGCCGAGTTACTGTGCAGTTTTCAAAAGATAAACAACAGCGCAAAAATCATTTTTCCCCGTCATTGATTACCAACAAAACAAAATCGAAGCCTATTTGAAGGTTAGAAACACATAGTTTTTCAACGTGGAGTGGATTATGCTGGCAAATATTTAGCTGTCTACCTGGATAATGTTTGTTGGACTATGCTGGCCACTTTTACCCTGACGTTAACTGCAGGTTTGGTTACTCATTTTGTTAATCTGGTGATGTGCTTTGATCTTCTATACCATTGTGCCAAATCACTTATAATCAGTCCTTATCAAACCATTGAATAGTTTGGTTATTTTGTCTTGTCTGTACACAAGGTTACTTATAGAGACACTGGTTACTTATAGAACGCTTCTCTAATTAATCATCGTTAGTCCTTACTAAACCTTAAACTATCCACGTTAAAATCCTGCACAATAGTTTACTACCGCTCCTTTCATGCTACCACTGTAGAAGACTTTTCATTCTGATGGTTGGTTGTATTGCTCAGCTTGACTTTAACCATGTTGCATATATTTTAGCCAAGCTTCCTTCTGGATTGTCTTGTTTTTCATTTGACCTAACTTGGTAAACAAATTGAAAAATTCAATTTCAAGTGTAAGGACTTTTCTTGGTAACATAATAAAACAAAGTTTGTAAATTAGCTTTTACACTTTGGTGGCTTCACAAGCAAATTTTGAGCTGTTGTACACTGCTGTTACTTTAAAACCTTTCAACTTGCATACAGAGGCTTTAACGGATGCAGGCCTTGACTGGTTCCCTTGCGTTCCACTTGAAGGTCGCGGAGGTTAATCACCTTGAAGAGGAAATCATGGCCCTGCACTCGGAAATCGTGGAACTGCAGAGAAGCCCGTATGCGCGTCGACAGGGAGAAGTCATGGAGCAGCTGTGCGTGAACCCGTGCAAGCAGGCCTTCACCATGGTCCTACACAGAGCTTTTTGAGTATTGTTTCATTTTGCAAAGTTCTTCAGCCGTCTGATGGGTCTGTCCTGTGTCCTTGCAGTGAGGAAAAGGCGATAGACCTCTACAAGCAGCTGAAGATGAGGTGCCGAAGTAAGTGCCCTTTGTTTACCGGGGTCACAATGCAGCATCTTGTAAATCTCATGAGAATCCCTTAAATCTCCCAGCACTCCATACCCATTCATACCATTACCCAGACATGTATAAGGACAGCGGAGCAGCAGAAATCTAGGCTGCTACCTTTTAAAGGGATAACGGATCCATTGTGTCTGTGTCTCACCAAGGGTAACTAGCAAACCCTCAGAATGTCACTGTCACTGGACAAAAAATCTATTTCTTAGTTGCATTCATGTTTTTAATGATTCTTCCTAGTGCCTGATCCACAGCATGGTTACAGTGACAGCGAGGAAATGGTGAAGACTATCCTTCAGACAGTCAAAAACCAAGACCAGGTTCTGAGGGATCTTTATGCACACCTAAGGTATAAATTACCCACTGTCAAACAAATTGCGGAATAGTTATTATAACATATAATGATCATTTTATTCATTCACTTTGGTGGACAGCAGTGCTTGCAGCTGTTCTAATGATCACTGTAATGACATATTTCGTCTTTAAGATTTTTAACATTGGCTTCTAGCTCCAGTACAGACCGTTTGGCGGTCATCTTCTTTGTTCTGAATGCTGTTTGTCATTTACTTCTGTGGGCACCTAGAAAAAGTTATTTTTTATATTTGTTTAGAGTCGCAGAGACACACAGCTGTCTGTGGTTTCAGAGTCATTGGGTTCGTCAGGGTTTGTTTGACTTTAGAAAAGGCACCTTATTTCCACATTGTTGCAACCGCTGCAATTAACATGTAGCGATCTCCCACACAGCAAAATCTTACTCAGCAAGAAGAAGATTATCGACCTGTTCCCAAGGATTGAAAAGTCGCTTGACAACATTAAGGAAGCTGACACCACTGTGATGCAGATGCAGATCAAAAGACAGAGAGAGTTTTGGCATCTGCTGAAGATTGCCTGTGTGAGTTCATTTAATTATTTTCTCTGAAAACCTTACTGAGGATAACAACAACAAAATCAGTTCTAGGTTTGTCATGTGATCGCGGGCTTTGAAATCCACAGTGATTTGATAGAACTCCTCCCATGCTTTTGGATGCCTTGTTTCACTCGTAACTGATTTTTTTAATGTCCTCTTAGGCCCAGAATTCTAGCCGGAGTTCAATAACTCACAGTCCAGAGGTGTCAAACTCACCGCAAGTTTCGGGATGGAGTAGGCAACCTGCCAGTACTCCGCACCCACTTACATCTTTACCTGGACCAAACGACGGGTAAGCAGATGCACCGATCTGGATATTTAGAAGGCTGAGAAGTCCATTGCACGACAGGCTCTCGAAAAAGTAAGTAGGGGATAAACCACGATGAGGTGTGTGGCTATACGAAAATAATCGATGATAACTGTAATGTAGCCCAACGCATAACTGAGCCGCTAACCCAGTTGGAGTTGATTGTTTTCGTATAACTGCATACCTCAGAGTACTTTATCCCGTTAATACCACGGCTAGTGAACAAAAAATAATAATTAAATAAACCAGTCACGGTTAATTTTTCAGAAGCATTTAATAATGTTCCAGTGTGCTCATAGAAATGAAGACCCTGTAAGGATAGAACATCTGGTCAGGTTTCTCATTGGAAGAGGCAGTTACCATGGAAACCATCAACAGAAAGGCACTTGTGTTTTGAAATCCAAGGAGAATTATATTAACTGCTTATTTATGAGAAAAGTCACACAGGGTTTTATAATAAAATATTTCATAAAACATTGAAATGCTGTAATATAGAGCTGTTAGGGTGCCGGAACTACCTGTGTGGTTACTTGAAAATAATGAACACCCATGTGACATCTCCTGACCAATAAGAAAATAGTATTTACCAAAGCCATGATATAAGTTGCTGTATTATGGGATCATTTTTTATGTCATGATTGCTGGCCATTGTGCAAATAAAACAACTCTTATTTCATCCAGTGATTCAGTTCCTCAGTTACTGGCAGAAAACCAGAAGTACCTGAACCAGCTAACCAGTTTAATGCAGGAAACCAGTGAGGAACAATCAAAAAGCATGGTGGTGAGTTCAGCTGTCTACATCTATTCATAGACCATTTGACAAAACTCATCTTGCAAGGACAGAACTGGATATTTATTTGGTCGCTATATTCAGACGACCGTTGTTTAGTTCTGGTGTGTGATTTATTTATTTTTTTTCGTTTCTCAGTTACTTTTTTTGTCCCCTCCCCTGCAGGATCAAGACTGGAGCTGGGTTAAATATGAATCATTGACTGTACAACTACAGCCCTTATGAACACACACACATTCAGTAGACTGGTGTACAGTTTCTTTGCCTGCTCATCTGGTAACACTAAAGGGTTTTGTTGTGAAGACTGGTTACCACAATTGCTGAAGATTTTCAGATAGTATTTATTTCTTTGAACATAAGTGTCTTTCCAGTTTTGCAGTGGTTTTATATAAAAGATCATTCTTTTTTTTCCTGTGTCCATGGCGTTTTGTCAAAAATACTCTAAAGTGAATAGTAATCGGTCACACCGTAATCTGAACACTTGGTGTATTTTGATTCAGTAAAACAAAACCGCAATGAAGGACAATATTATTATAACTGTATTATTAGTATTGTTGTTGTTTTTCTTGTTGCGTTGTTGTTATTTTTTGGGCCATTTACTGCTAAATTCAAACTGCACTTTAATGCCTTTGTATGTCCCTCTGAGGTCTCTCTTGTGACCAAAATTTGCTTAAGGGCTTTATGCCCCTAAGATGTGTCCCTTTCTTTCAGATTTTTGGTTTTGGTGAGAGGAGGCATCAGTTGGGCTTTTGCTCATTCTCTCTCTCTCTCTTTTTTTTTCTCTTCTTTACACCACTAGTGAAAGAAAATACAGATGTAAAATGATTAATCTAAAATTACATTTTAGTTTTCTTCATTTTTTCTTAAATCCTTTATTAATTTGGAAAATGGACAGGTGCCTCATCTGCAGTTTGAGTAATGTGCTTGTTAAATAGTATTTGGTTATAAACTACAGCCAAGCGAGAGAAGAAATTAGTAATTGCTTAAACTACCTATAATCTCAGTAAATTTTATTTTATGCCACCAAAGTGCAATGTATGACATTCTTAGTATTTAAGCCTACCATATTGAATTCAATTTTAGCGTATTCTGGTCTGGAATATACTTGTATGTTCTAATTGTTGTATAATTCTAATGAATGTACAGAGTATACAATAAAGTTCCATGTTCTGCAGTATTCACATCTTTTTATGTAAATAATTTCACTGCTAAATGGGTCCTTAGATCAGTTTCTGTTCACAGATCACAACATTTTGATTAGAGTAAAATATGCTGATTATTGGCGATACTGTATCTAAGACAGGGTGCTGAAAAACCAAGTTATAAATTATAACAAGGTATAACAGTAATGTTTGTCTTTACTGAGGGTACAGAGGTTTTCTTCCCTGCCTTATAAACAGATGCCAGATGTATTAGTATGACTCATGGGGACAAAACATAACTGAACCACCTAATGTGCAAAATTGCCCACTGGATCAGGATCAATGATTGTAACGTCATGGTTACGCTCGTTCCAGGTATTTCAGGAGCACCTTCTGGTAATGCACACAAGAATGTGTGTGTGTAAAGAAATGTAAAAAAGTACATTAACAACATGCACGCTTGCACATGTGCGTACATGCAAACACACACACACTAGATGCCTATATTTTTGTGGGGACTTTCCATACTCCTAATCCCAACAATGACAATCTTGACCTTAACCATACAGTAAGTAACCAAACTAAATACAAAACTTTTGGCTTCTCTTGTTATTTGGTTGCATTCACAGATCTTTATACAATTGAGTTTTCTGTTGTGGGGACTGGGAAAATGTCAACAGGTTCTACCATCTTATGCGGGCATTTGGTCCCCAAAATGTACTATATACAGGTATCCCCCACCCATACACAAACAACCGTTTCAAGATTGAAGACATTTCTTAAGAGCCTAAGAAATTCGTAAAATGTTCTCCGTTTTCTTCTTATATAACTACAAGTGTTTGTCACTGAAAATGTTGGGGTGAGTAAAAGAGAGAGACCAGAGACAGCTTTACATGTTATTACGTAAATCGACCATTATATACCCCATTACCTTTGCAAATAAGTCACCCGAATTTGTGACATCGTACAATGTGCAAGGGGAAGAGGTAGTAGGAAGTAAATACAGCATTTATAAACGGGATTGCGTTAAATACTTCTGACTGCCGAGAGATTACTGCTGACTGCCAACCACGCGTTGTACGTGTTTTTTGTTGTTGCTTCTGACGTTGAAGTGCAGTCCTTAGGAAGCTGGCAGCACTTATTCCCAAGACTGCCGTGATAATGTGATGGGTTAGCATGCAAAGACCTCCGCATAATGTAATTAATACCGTTAAGCGATCGCCTCCCACCACCGCTAAACTCCCACGGCCAGAAGCTGAGGGAATGGGCGCTGTGCTGTCCGGTGGGAACGTGTTAACAGTTGCATTTTAACATTTGGAGTCTAGGCAAGTGAAGACAGCTTGGGGTGTTATATATGTTTGCACTGTTGTTAGTAAGCCAGAGTTGAGCAGTTTATTTTTTCGGACATAGCCGATGAATTTCCAGTCTTGGAAAATATCTGCTCCTGTTTGCAGCGACGGTTTTGCACATATAATGTGCTTAAATTTCATATGGAAACAGGCAACCAACTGGCACAGGTACTGCTTCGTGCATTTTCTTTTGGGACAACTTAAATTTATGTTTAATACAGATGCGTTATCGGCATATTTACCCCTCGCGGATACTGAAAATTATCTGTGCAGTGACCTTTTTGGGTGTAATAAAACTAGTCAGCAAAGTAACACAACGAATTCTTGTCTGGTAAAGTGTGTTTTAACATCCAGGAGTAACATTTCTACGGATACGATATCGAGTGAAGCCTTTTACTCCTTGGGGTAATTTTAGAAGAGCATGGTCTGTTATTTTTGCTGCACGCCAGTCCCACTTGCTCTGATCACTAGGTAGAGCTAAATTTATAAGCATGCCGCATGTTACATTGCATGTGTCATCTTAAATGTTGCATTACAGCGTGCTACTCTATAAATGCATTATCAGTTGCCTTTTACAATGTAGTCTTAATGTGCTTTCGTTCCTCGTAAATGCGTAGCTGTTTAGAACAAGCTGAAAAGTTTTCATTGTAAATGGCTAGCATTAAAAGCCGTCTGTGTACTGTAACCGTGTTCTTCATACAGAATTTATTTTAGATATCATTTTAGCAGATTAGGAATAAAATTAAAGTCGATACCTTAAGTTTACCTCTAAAAAGAAACTATTTAAGATATAGGCCTGTAAATAAAAAAAATATGAGATGGGTTATTACTGAAACCACTGATTAACAAAGGTAATTTAGAATGGACTTTGATGTATTTTTGACTCGGTTTGACTGGGCATCACAGCTGACCTTGTGATCTGAAATGCACGACATTTGTGAGTGTAAAACTGCTACCGATGTATCGCAGGTTGATGCTGTGACACGGACGACGATGACTTACGCATGCGCGTTAATCGTGACACTCGTAGGAGTCTTAAGCTTTCTTATGCACTCTTCCATACATAAGATAGAAGAGGGTCACCTTGCAGTTTATTACAGGTAAGCAAGTGCAATATTAGTCAATACTTAATATCTTTTAAAAAAATTGTCATGTGGAGAATGGTATTTATATTGCTTAATTTATTCACACTATAATTATACTTTTTAATTTTTTAAATGATATTTTTTTAATTATTATTTCAGAGGTGGAGCTTTGCTGACATCTCCTAATGGCCCAGGGTATCACATAATGTTACCGTTCATCACTTCCTACAGATCTGTCCAGGTCTGCCCAAACATGGAACGCAGCTTGTGCAGATGTTAAATTATACTTGTATTTCATGAGGACTAATCATGACTAGTCTCATTTTAAAGTATTTCAAAATCAGAAAGATGACGTCTGTCATTTCTCTCATGATTGACGTAACAAAAACCAATGCACTTAAGTACGGACAAAGGAACTTCTCATCCTTAGTTCTGTCTTTTTTTTAGTGTGTTGTTAGTCGTTGTTTCTACTTCCCCAGGGAATTCCCATAAGTGTAACCTTTAGAAATAATATAGAAATCATTCCCTTTATTATGCATACTTTTCGGATCACAGTTTACATTGCATGTAAATTCCAATCCCCTATCTTCACTAACTTAGTGACTAAGACTGTGCTACATTCCCATCTCATGATATGTTTACATTCCCATTACCATAAGTGCCATTTTTGATACTCATTCTGCAGATAATTGTTGTTAACTGTCTTAATATTCCAGACGACCCTCCAGACTGATGAAGTGAAAAATGTGCCTTGTGGAACAAGGTACAGTTCCGTATGCCTTACACTAGTGGCCAAAATTGTGGAAACACCTTGCACTTTTGGCATTAGGCTTTAAAAAATACTACACCAATATTGGTGGTAATGTTTATGAACGATCAAAGAATGTTACAAATATCATACATTGGATGATTAAGTAATTGGAGCAACAATTGAATAAAGTTATGTAATCTCTAAAAACTGGAAATGTTTCCACAATTTTGGGCACTAGTGTAGTTCCTGGAAAAATGCCTGGAGCTGCTTTATAGCTTTTGAAAGATGTGTGGATGGCTGTGATCTTTAGTCAGTACAGTGGTACGTATAAGACAGAGGCTTACAAATTTGCACTGAATGCGAAGTTCCAGGCAGGTCTTAAGTGAAAAGAAATTATATTACAAAATAATGTCCTAGAATAAATGTATGCTATTCATTTACAAGGTCAGTTACACACATACTGTATATTGTCTTAGAAACAGTGTAAAATAAAGGAATTTGATCATCTTGCTGAGCATTTATGCAAATGTGTGTTGTCTTTCAATTTTTCAATGACCTGTTTTTCAACAGTGGGGGTGTCATGATCTTTTTTGACCGTATTGAAGTGGTGAACATGCTGGTTCCCTCAGCAGGTAAGTACTGTGATGCTGCCTGATTCTTCAGCATCCATTCTGACACAGGTCAAGTCCTTCTGTCCTTCTGTTCATTTAGTGGTGAGCGTTGTGAGGAACTACACTGCCGATTATGACAAGACTCTAATATTTAACAAGATCCACCATGAGCTGAATCAGTTCTGCAGCATACACACACTCCAAGAGGTGTATATTGAATTATTTGGTAAGTAGTACTATAATTAATCTTTCCTGCCATTTGCAGTGTAAAACACAAATATACACAGTGACATGTGCTAGCGCAGTGCTTAGCACTGTTTTCTCTGCTCAGGAACCAGAGTTCAAGTCTCTTGCCTGGCTCCATGTGCGTGGAGTTTGCATGTTCTTCCCTGTCATTGTGGGGTTTCCTCCAAGTATGCAGGTTTCCCCCCACGGTCCAAAGAGATGATAAGATGAACTGAAGCTGCCAAATTGTCCTTAGGTGTGCATGTGAGTGTGAATGGTCTGTGTGTGAGTGTGAATAGCGTGTGTGTGTGTGAGTGTGAATGGTGCCTGTGTGTGAGTGTGAATGATGTGTGTCTGTGAGTGTGAATGGTGTGTGAGTGTGAATGGCGTGTGAGTGTGAATGGTGTATGTCTGTGAGTGTGAATGGTATGTGTGTGAGTGTGAATGTTGTGCGTGTGAATGGCATGTGCATGTGAGTGTGAATGGTGTGTGTGTGAGTGTGAATAGCTTGTGTGTGAGTGTGAATGGTGTGTGTGTGAGTGTGAATGGTGTGTGTGTGAGTGTGAATAGCTTGTGTGTGAGTGTGAATAGCTTGTGTGTGAGTGTGAATGGCGTGTGTGTGAGTGTGAATGGTGTGTGTGTGAGTGTGCCCTGACATGGGTTCCTTGCCTTGCACCCATAGGCTCTGGACTCACCACAACCCTGAACTGGACAAGCGGTTACCGAAAATGGGTGCATGGACATGTTTACCATAAATTTCTGTTTGCTGTATTTTTGAAGATTCATTTTGCATTGGCTGCCTGTTTCTCTGTTTCGTAGACATTATTGATGAGTACCTGAAAACTGCTCTTCAGAAGGAATTGAACATCATGGCACCTGGTCTCACAGTTCAGGTACTTAAGGCAGCAGATAGCGAAGGCCGTCAGCGACGGGGAGCAGTGTTTCCCAGTCTGGTCCTCGCGGACATGCAGACAGTCCATGTGGACCATCTGGGAGGGAACTGGGCGGGTGCAGAAACGTGGATCATCTGCGTATCCCCCTGGCCCAGCTTGGGAAACACTGACACAGAGTATTGATCGAAAAGCTGCAGAGTCAGGTTCAGAAAGGATGTTATGAGGTATTTCAAACAAGATGCTTATCCTGGATGCTGCACTGTGCTTTGGATGGAAGCATCAGATGTTAAAATATTAAATATAAAATCACAGAAAAGAAATGAGTCATACTAGTTGTATTATATAAGGGACTTTTGGTAAGACTTCATTTTATATCAGTGATACTGTTCAAATAAAAAATAAGGGGATATAAGCTCATGCACACAAGGCATTTGGTGCTGTTTATGGAATTTCAGTCTTGGATAGTTTTATTTCAGTTGTAATTTCCATCCATCCATCCATCCATCCATCCATCCCTTCTGGAACTACCTATCCTGGTCAGGTTCATAGGGGGGCCTGGAGTTTATGCCAAGCAGTGGAGGGCACAAGGCTGGGTCGGATCAGCTGTAATACACAATTTATATAATAAATACATATAGTCAACAACAGCGAGTAACAGCTTCGTATTTGATTGTATTATATTTTTCATTAAAGGCTGTCCGTGTTACAAAGCCCAAAATCCCTGAGGCCATCAGAAGAAATTTTGAGCTAATGTGAGTATAATAGTATTACTTGATTTTTTTTTTATTTGATGTGAATATTAAAAAGACACAAAATGCTAATGAAAAGAATTTTAAACAAACTGGGTACAGCTATATACGTGTGATATATTTTCATATATTAATATATTAATAAAAGTCTTGGTATGTCTTAAATCAATGCTTAAATTAAATAAGATTGACTAAAATTGACTTTAAAATTACATTTTATGCAGTTTTTGTATTTAGCTGTATTTAGCCTTTGCAGGAAGGATCCGGAGGTTCATCTATTATATTAAATTAGTGATGCATGTTACATTGTATTATAAACTGCCAGAAACCAAGCGTTATATATAAAACCTCATCTTGTGAACTGTTATAACACTAAAAATGAAAATGTAGTGAGAAATTAAGTGGTCTTTCACTATTAACTTTGGTGCAGCTTATTATGCCACCTACTGTCCAACCAGCAGTATTACCAGTATCGTCTGTATTTTGAGCTTTAATTGCACCGTCGTGGACATCATGCCTATTGCGGAATCACATATGTGGGGGAACTACAGTTTGGAAGGGAATCGCAGATAAGCAGTGAAATGCGTACACTTACACATTGGCTTAAATTACGGTCGGGTTGTAAACTCCCCAATAATTAACACTGAACAATGCATGCTGCTTAATGGGTGGAGACTCCCCTAAATGGGTGGGGACCTCAGCCCCCCAATGATGAACCCAAGATTATGCCCTTGCACTTGCATATTCAAAACTGGCATCATGAGTCAGCACAGTTTCATTTGTTTTGTTCTCAGGGTGGGGGTCTTCTAGAATTGTTTGCATGCATGGACATGTGTCCAGAAATGAGGACCCCCCCCCCATAATAATCTTGCACTGGGGCTAGAGGCTTATGTCACTGCATTCACTCCTTCCAGGGAGGCTGAGAAGAGCCGTCTGCTCATCACATCCCAGACCCAGAAAGTGGTCGAGAAGGAGGCAGAGACAGAGAGGAAGAAGGCCATTATTGGTACTTAGTAAATGCTTATGGATTTCTAAATAAATGTAGCAGTTTCCTGATGGAGATTCCTGACCTTTGTTTCCTGATGGAGAGCAACAAAATGGGTTTTCATTAGCTTGCCTAATACAGTATATTTAAAACCTGCTGTATGGAGGAAGTAAGGACGTAACAGAACTGATATGAGCAATAGGCAGTATTTACTCATCAAACCAATTTCAGAAAATATTGTGCAAAAGAGTGTGGATGTTGTTTGTAAGTTCCTTTTGCATTGTTCTTTCTGATTCCTTTTTTTAATAGAAGCCCAGAAGATTGCCCAAGTTGCAGAGATTCAGTTTAAGCAGAAAGTTATGGAGAAAGAAACGGAAAAGAAGATTTCAGAAATAGAGGGTTTGCTCCTGTTCTTTTAGATGTCACACTGACACGCACGCACAGAGACATCCTTCCTGTAAATGCTGTCACCTTTCCGTGTCTGAATGAGTGATGTGTTTGTTACAGACTCGGCTTTCCTGGCTAGAGAAAGAGCAAAGGCAGATGCTGAGTATTACACTGCAGAAAGGCTTGCTGAGGCTAATAGGGTAATTCTTTTTGCTGTAATCACTTAGTAGTTTTGTTTGTAACATTCATTTAAGTTTAAAATATTTATGTTAATAATTGGCAGGTAGAAAGATCAGGTCCAGAACGTAAAAATCCAGCCCAAGATTTTGTTTCAACCAACCAGTTGAGTACTCTATGACTATGACTCTTTCGGACTGTGACTCATTATGACTGTATGACTGTGACTCAACTGGTTGGTCGAATCTTGAAGCTGCATGGAGCCGTGTTTTGGTAATATTTGATAGTGTTTATAACATGTGGCGTTCATTTTCTTTCTGCCAATCACTGTTCTGCACTTTCAGGTGAAACTGACTCCGGAGTACCTGGAGCTCATGAAATACCAGGCGATTGCAGCCAGCAGCAAGATCTACTTTGGCCAGGATATTCCAAGCATGTTTGTTGACAACAGTGCCCCCTCTGGCAGAACTCAGGCAGAGCTGGGCCCAAGTGAGCAGCATAGGTCTCTGGACAAGACTGCGAGTTCCAGGAAATTAACGCATTCTGCAGGCAAGGTCTCCAGAATGGACTCTGTCCGTTGATAAGGAAGGTTTGAAAAGCCCATAGGTTTTCAGTTAAAGAATGTGGGTGGAAAAAACTGACTTACACATTGTGAAATGATGGAAAAGGTTACAAGTCAGCATAGCACCACTGATGGGTCAGTTCAATTTATTGAAATAATTTGGTACATTTTGGTTTTTATTGCTTTCATTGACATGCATGCTTATGTCTGTTTGCAGTTATGTCACTAAAGCATGTCTAAGAAGGAATGATAACTGAATATATTTATACCAGGGGTCTCTAACTCTGGTCCTGGAGAGCTACTAGGTTTTCTATCCTTTTATAGCAGTTTTGTTTTACTATTTACTGAATTTTCAAGTTTAATTACATTGATTTTTCGCTGAGGGACATTTCTGCACTTCACGATCTAGAAACGTTTCCCTTTTGATTTTTACAGGACCTTTGCTAAGATATCTGGGTCAATAGAGGGAGCTGTTTTTCTTCAAATCGAAAGCATTTACATGCTGAAATACCTGTGAGTCGTTTCACATCGAAGAATGTAATTTAAAACACAAAAAAGCATAAACCATTTAGTCAGTTCTACTGTGCTATATTGTTTTAATTAAAAAAATCTCAACGGCACACTGAATGCATTTCTTTTTGGAATTTTGTGTTGTTTTTTGGTATAAAGTTCACAGCCACTGGGAAAACGTTTGAGATTTATATGGTGAGTTTGGGTTTAGTTCAGCTAGCCACATTTATGCGTCATTTCAAAATGACAGTTTTTCTGTTAACTAAAATAAAACTGTGAAATTTTCTTTGATCTGCTAAAACATGACAATCCAGAATTATCTAATATTTTTTGCCCAAGGCTAAATAAATTTGCAAAAAAAAAAAAAAAAAGATCTGGAACTCTGAGTTTCTAGTTTATTCCTTTTTAATGTGATCTTAAAAGTGTTCTTTTAAACAGGATAAAAAGCACTAATTAAACAAAAGACGCCTATTAGAGGAGCAGTTAAAATGAGGTGTACGCTGCAGTGGGGATTTGCGTTCTATCAATGATCTGCCCCATTAGCTTTCTGCTGTGGGGAGTCTCAGGGAAGACAGATTGATTCAAGTGAGTTTTATGGACTGGGGATATTTTGTCTTTTTCTGTGACTCCAGCAATCAGATCACAACTGACACTGGTACAGTGAGTAGCACTGTATTCCACATGTGTTACATCGCATGATAAAGCACAGAGGCTGTAACTGGAAAAAAGCCTGAAGAAGGTGTGCCCTTAGACCTCTCAAACTGGTGTGCATGTTCTGCTTTGGGAAAATGGAAATAAAAATATGCTCTAAAACGATCAGTGAACAGTACTGTAGATTAATAATATTTTAGATCAGTAAAACAGATTACTATCAGCATAGTATCCAGAAGTGCACCAACGTGGTAAGAGTACCCCCCCCCCCCTACTATTACAACGGGTGGACGTCAGTGGGGTGGCTACGGAAAATGTTGTCGACAGGGTGAGGGGGTGGCCTTTTAAGCGAGGCCCCTGAGCTTCAGCCTGGGGAAGCCTGTGCATTGATGCGCCCCCGTTAGTACCAGAAACTAGCAGGCCAGCCTGAAGGACTTTTAACACAGCATTATTACTATAGTTGCTGCTGTTGTGGTTATTATTATTATTGCTCGTGCCATTTCTAACCTCATCCAGGCAAGTCAAGTAGGTTTAATTGTCGTTTCAGCCATATACACAGTATACTGTACAGTGAAATTAAACATCGTTCCTCCAGGGCCATGGTGCACAAAAAGTACCCAGAAGTACCCAGAAAAAGTACTCAGAAGTACTCAGAGAAAGTACTCATGGCTTGTGTTTACATGTTCTGGCACTCATCATTTTGTATAGTGCAATCCAGAGCTTAGATGTTGGCTGATCCCATTTTTAACTGCTGCTATAACACCAAAATTTCCCCTTTTGGGATTAATAAAGTTAATCAAATCTAATGTAATGTAATCTAATCTAATCTATAGGATTTTTACAAGTTAAACTATCGTACAGTATATGATGGAACAAATGGCTTTATTGTTATTGCACAAGGTACACCAAAATTGAAAGACTATCCTTTTCAGTGCAACAAAGAAAAAAAAAGTCAGCAAGGATACAAATACAGAAAAAATAAGATGGATAGAATATATAATAAACAAAAATTGGAATATAAAATAAGAAAATAGAATATAAAATTGCTGGATAACTATTGGTGTGATCCACTGAACTGAAATTTGCACTAACAAACAAAAACACACACAGAAACACAGATAAAAGGCACCAAAGAGGGGAGTACAGAGCCACTGCGTCTAATCCAGGGTGTACCTTACCTTTTACCTTACCTTTTACCTTACCTTACCTTACCTTACCTTACCTTACCTTACCTTACCTGCTATTTTTGGAAAGATGCTCAAGGCTCAGCATGAGCCTTTTCTGGATAATGGATCAGAGGATGATATTATTCTTGGAAATGTACATTTTTTTCCATTCATTGCTTTAATAATGAAGGCTAAACTACTGTAATTTGATGATCATTATTTGTTGTAAAACCTTCAGTGTACTGAACAGAAGGTGAAAACCAGACGTCAAGGAAGGAACTGTTTTCAGAGGGGAACGCTATGGACTGCATTTAAGTTAAGGAGTAATTTTTAAAATACAGGCTTACAGGGACTGACTAAAAATGACTCATGCAGTGTGTGACAGAGTAGTTTATTCTTTTTAATGTGACACATATACAACGAGTATGCCTTTACGGAATTAATCCCTGTTAGCCAAAGTGGGCTTATATGTTTTGAGATAAAGGATTTACTGGAACTACACATATCATAACTTAATGTAATCAGTCGCCTGACGCAGCATATAGTCAGCCTAAATCCATCCTGAACATTAACCCCAAAACCCACCTTCGCAATCTTCTTAGAGGTCTCTGTTCTGAATTCTACATAATGCTAGTGTCTGAAAATGACCCAATAACATTTTGTTATTGGATGAAACGGAGACTGTGATCCCTCACAGACGGCCCTTTTAAAACGTGATGCTTTTCCGGTTCTCGTCTCTAGGACGATTTTGCAAGCGTGATGTTCGTGCAGAGAGAAAAAAAAAGTCCCAAGGAATCTGGGGAAGGATAAACAGTGAAGGTGGGAGAGAATCCACTAAGTGACTATAATCTTTCCCAACATGGAAATGGTCAACAGCATGGCTGAAGCAGAAAGCTACAGGCCTGTAGTCATAACCATTTTCAGGCAATCTATTTATTTGTGATGGACTTACTAAGGAATGCAAATATGTATGTGCTGTCTTCTGTCTTTCGATTGCCTTTATCGTTGAGATATGCACAACTTACTATACCTAATGCATTTAATGTCCATCTCTGTTTTGCAGCAGTAGGAAGGATCTGCCGTTTATCACTGCATTCATCCTCCTTGACCCATTGCCAAGTCGGCTACTATCACTCCTGCTGTCGTCCATATAGTAGATAACATCCCACTTTGAAACTTCTGGTGCAGCTATGCATGCCACCACCAGCTCAACCCAAAGAATAAACTGCCATTACTCAGCCAGCAGAACTCTGCTGCATGATTTATTAGCGAGCGTTCTTCACAGTCACTACTCTGCTCTTATCGCAAGAGCCCCAAGCCAGGAATGCTAGGGTGGGAGAGAGCAAGAACAAATGTTCGGTTTGAAATTCATAAACAATGATAGGAACGCAGAATGATTTTGATGAAAACTCATTATCGCAGGCACCTTTTAAACCTCCAGCTGAAATTGAGCAGGACCATTTGAAAAAAAAGCATTGTGTGCAATTAGAGCAAGTCCTACAAGGAAAATAAAATGCTGACAGAGTTACACTATTATTCAATTTCCCCAAGTTTGAGCAATATCCCCTCCCTCACTGGGGTGAATTTCCTAACAGTGAGCTTCCTGAAGGACTAGTGCCAGATGATGCATTCTGAATCATGAGACTTATAACAGGAAATGTAGCCTTTGGCAGCGCTACAGCCAAGACACGAGACCTAGAGTTTTGGTGCCGCTTTGGTGCTAAAGAGATGGCTAACAAGCAGGCCACTCTAAAAATAACAGAACAGCAATAAAAGAAAGAAATCGACACATTGCAATGCTTTATGACCATCAACAGGTCATCAGGATGAGGAGTTAAATAAAAAATGTAATATGATTAAAAATATATCCTATGCAACAAACAGCTCTTTCAGAACGGCTAACAAATGGACCTTGTGAAAGAAAGAAAAAAAGTACATGAAATATGTTCAAGCTTGAACCTAAGAGAGCAAATCCTGGGGCCTTGTAAAGCTAACCTTTAAATACAAAATCTATGCATGCTGGGTGAACCTCCTTACTTAAGCATGTGCACCTGACTATAATTAACACTAGCTTCTGACTGGCACATACACACATTATTGAGCTTAATTACTGCAATTATGCAATCGCAGATGCAATTCTGTGTGATTAGTCCTCACATTCACAGCAAAGTCACTTTATTTGTACTCATACTGAGTTGAGCAATATTTTAATGGCTTTAAAGTGTCATTTCAGTTTTGCAGTTATGTTTTTGTTTTGTGATTGATTTTTTGTTAATGTGACCAATATTAACTCAGCTGTTTGGGTTTACATGAGGATACATGATTAAATGCAGCCAGAATGTAATCAGTCTGTGCATTTTTACTGGCCTAAAATGGTCATGCATCTGTCCTTTGATTCATTCTATAAATAGACAGGAATTCTTTGAATTATTGCATGACAGAACCAGAAGTAAGGAGGAGTGACCAGCCCCATCTGATAATAGGAGCTTTTTAAAATGATAAGGAAGGAAGGATTTAAAACTAGTTATAATATTTTAAGGGGGAGAACCAGGAACAAGAAAGGAATTTGCGAATATTTATAATTGATTAAAAAAAAGATTAAAACTGGTGATGTAGTGGTTAGCACTGTTGTCTCACACCTCTGGGACCAGGGTTTGAGTCTCTGCCTGGGTTACATGTGTGTGGAGTTCGCATGTTCTCCCCGTGTCGTCGTGGGGTTTCCTCTGGGTTCTCCGGTTTCCCCCCACAGTCCAAAGCCATGCTGAGGCTAATTGGAGTTACTAAATTGCCTGTGTGAGTGTGCCCTGTGATGGGCTTGGCCCCCGTCCTGGGATGTTCCTCTCCTGTAGCTTCTGGGATTGGCTCTGGACCCCCTGTGACCCAGAAGGATAAGTGGTTTGGAAAATGGATGGAAGATTAAAACTGGGAAACAGTAAATCAGTCCCTCTGCCTGTCTCCATTGCCACTTGTTCAGTTTATTTTTGCACTGGTAAATATTTCCCTGTAAGGGAAATTATTCATTGTGAAAAATTCCCGAAGAAGCACATAAGTATTTACTATTCTACCTCTCGAAATCTTTTCTGGTTTCAGACAGAAAAGGTTACTCTGTAAAATCTGTCCATTAGGCCATTTAGGGGAAATAGCATAAAAGATCATGGAGTCAAGAAACCCCTCTGTGTTTGCCTCTTTAAAAAATACCTGTATTAATGCTGAACCAAAGTGGGACCCATAAACGGCCAATGGTGTAACACAAGAGAGACCCCACTTGGGTTTGCCCATCTAAAACACTGTATTAATGCTTTGCCCAAGTTGGACCTAGATACAGCTAATGCAGTAGCTCAAAGAGAGCCCACTTGGGTTTGCGTATCTAAAGCACAAATCTGTTCATGGTTTGCCCAAATGGGACCCAGATACAGCCAATGAAATAGCCCACAAGGAACTCACTTGTGGTTACCCATATAGAACTCACTACATAATTAAGTTTGCCCATTTGGGACCCAAAAAAACCCTTGAGACATCCCACAAAACAGCCAATGTGACTTGCCCAGTTAAAGCTCAACTATTCTTCTTGGTAGCCCAAATGGGCACTAGTGACAGCCCAGTAATTTGGCTGTAAATTTCATGTGGAGCCCCAGTGGACATGCTAACTGTGACAATACTCTCCTTTGGCAAGTGAAAGCTCATAATCTAAATCAAAAACCAGCAAAGAGCATTTATTTTAAATCTGTACGAAACTAAGGAGTGAACAGCACAGCACAATGACAGAGCAAAATCTTAAATTTAACCCTAAACGTAACGAATAGTGGGGTAACATTAAAACGTAATACCCAGATGGAGAAAAACAGAGGCATGTTAAAACAAAGTAAGAGCTCGGTTTGCTGTATGGTATCAGATCCTCAAGCGGCTGCGGCCGTTTATCGGTTTACCTACATAAAGTTGATCCATTATTGAATGACAATGGGACCTTTCACTCTGCAGCCAAATGACCCCTGTGTTTATAGCAGATTAGAGAATACCCTGATTCATGGGGGAGGGGGGGGGGCATCAGATTAGTAGAGACAACAGGGAATAATGGGTAGGAGTCACAGACACTGGGATGACTGTCTCTGTGACTCAGACTGAGGGGTTGGAGTCACAGGCAGATCTAGGTCACAGAGTGAAGGGGCTGCATTAATTTGGCTGCTCAGCCATAAAGTATGAGATCCACAGGCATAGACTGAGTGTTGTTTCCTCTCTCATATTAAGTGGTTCGGGGCCGAGACAATGTAATCAATAACGTGGTTAAAACAGTATTCTTACATCTGAGGAATATTGCAAAACTTAGAACAATGTTCTCACTTCAGGATGCAGAAAAGTTAAAACATGCCTTCATAACTTCTAGACTGGAATACTGCGATGCCTTACTGGTTGGGTGTGCCTCTGCATCATTAAACAAACTCCAGTTGCTGCATAATGCTGCAGCATGAGCCCTAACAAGCACTAGAAAACATGTGCATATCAGTCCTGTACTGGCCTCACTCCACTGGCTTCTGGTTAGGTCTTGTCTCGATTGTAAAGTACTACTGCTTAAATACTGCCAAAGGATAGCACCATTTTTACAGCACAGTGTCCCTGTCACTGCACTGGGGCTTTGGGATCCACACAGATCACAGCATGGGCTAACCTGTTGGCCAAACCAACACCTCTCCCAGCAAAAACCAAACTTACATAGTTGGTTTCTCATCCAAGTACTGGCCAGGCCCAAACCTGCTTAGCTTTAGATAGATTACCTAGTCTGAACTAAGCAAGAAACCCTACTTTCTGAAACAGGTCCCTGGGCTCATGTAAAAATACACAAATAGAAATTAAGCATCAAAACATCAAAAAAGAAGCCAGTGGAGTAACCACTTATGTAGTCAGTTTTGGTGATCCAGACCCCTATCCCAGGATGGATGTGGTACAAATCAGTGTATCAGAAGCTTTATATAGATTAGATAGTTAGGCCAGGGTGAACACCAGTAGAATAACCACAGTGCACATACACAGACGTCATATTCAAATCTATATATCATGTACTCCTACTGCTTTCTGTTACCAATTCATTTCCTGGATACACTGTATCTCTCTGTAAGCACCATATGCTCTTTGCATGTACCGTAAGTAAACACGTCTGGAGTATGTAGCGTGTGGAGGGTTGGGGGGGGAGTTAGGACAATTCCAAGGGCCCCTGAGTGACAGGGGCCCTAAAGAATTTGGAAAATAACTGGATTTGTCTGGATATGCTTTCAAGGGGCCCAAAGTCTTTAGCATGTGTTCTGTGAGAAATCCCCGCTACTGTCTCGGAGAGGAGCATACTGAAATACATTCTTTGTGCTTGTGAAATACTTGGCAGAATGACCCTAATTCTGAAAAAAATCTGGGCAGTCTTCAGAAAGTAGGTCAGACTATAATTCATGTATCAGGGGACGCAATGCTGCTTGTTTTCTTCTGTTTAACGACGAGTATGTTCAGTTTATGGCCTGAGTCATTAAATTGTGGGTATTACTGCTGTGTGACAGCTGAGCATATATCATCCATGTTTGGGGATAAAAACATTAGAAATTTAAGAAAATATTTATAAAATTGTTTTTTTTTTCACATGCAGTTTTTTGCATGAGTCGTTTGAATCCTGGTACTGTATAATATGCACCATACGGTTGCATGCAAAGCCGCCGAAACTGGTTTGAGCTGGCAATGTATGCAGAAGATGCTAATGGGCTAATGGATTTCTACTCTAAATGACCTTCCATTAAAATTTCAGCATTCTTCAAATTATAAATTATTCCAGGGTGAATGAACTCCCTCAATTCCATAAAACATCCGGAAATTCAAATGTTATGGACTGTTGACACTAGAACAGATACTGGTGAAAAAGAGACAGATTGATGCAAACATTAGTGTCCCTCTGGAGTAGATGGCTAGAACATAAAAAATGTGTATGTTTATTTACACTTCCAAGTGTGACCTCTCCTGATTGGCTCTTACGAAGTACTGAAGTTGTCAATGACTTTTGGCACTGCAAAATCACCTTTGGCCTACATTATCAAAACCTACATTATCAAACATTTTCTGAAATCGCATTACTTCTGTAACAACAGAATTATTGTTCTGTCATATTTACATTTGGTGTGATGGGAAATGTAAATGTTTCACGCAGACGTGACTTACTAAGCTTAGATCTCTGCTCAAAGAATGTCAGTGAATGTCTTCAGGTAGGTCCTAAATAGCTGTAGCATCCGTCATGCTCGGCTAATCCACTGAGTCTATCTCCACCCTGGGTCGCCATGGCGTTGCGGCTGGTTTAAATCACCCGTCAGCTGTGAATCAGCGCTGAGTCGGCCCCCGGTCTACCATGCGGGGGTCCAGCCCTTCCTTACATCCACATTCTTGGCCCAGCTGTGGCCCCATCCATGGCGCTGAGGGAAGAGCGCCGGGTGAGGGCAGGGCGGTGAGTAAGAGCGTATCCTTTGTTTTTCCCAGCCGCCAGGGGGACAGGTGCTTATGAGACACCATAATGGGCCATAAATACGAGCAGCTGGGGGTGTTGGAGCCTTTCTGTCTCTTTACTTAGTGGTTTGAAAAATGAAAGGGTTGCAGTCTGGAAATTCACAGTAGGAGACCAACAAACAAAGCTCTCATTTCTATGGAGCAAATAAAACGGGGACATGCCCTAGTCACTGGTCATTGCTACTGATTAAATTTGTTTTATTGCAATATAACAATTATCTATGAGGGGACAGATGTTTGGATGAAGCGCCATTGAGACTTGCGGAAACGCTAAAAAAAATTATTTATATGAGGGCCAGTGCAGGATCTGAAAATTTCCTCAAAGTTTCTTTCAGCTAATTTCGGTAATGTCACATGTTACTGCAGATAAGCAGAGTAATTCTCAAGCAAACGCCTGGCGTGCGATGAAAGGCAGTGGATAAATCGCTGAAATTCTTTAGTGGTGACATCATGCTTTATAAAGGGGCCTTATCATCAATTAAGCACTTCACCTTTCAGACTGAGATTAGACAGTAAAAGGTATTTCAGGTAACTACTGACTCTGTAATAAGCATTAATGGTAATATTAATAACAATCTAATGACGGAATGATCTTTTAGGGTCCGCAGTAATGACATTTTAGAAAAAACTGAAAAGTGCTTCAGACATTTTGCTGCCTTTGTGGACCAGCTAGGTAAAATTAGAAATTGAATTCCTATTCCTATTCACTCCATTTTACAGAAGCATGAACATTAATTTTGCATGTTACTATTGAAGAAAGCATAATCCAACATAAAATTTGCTGACACAATAAATATTCTTCACTTTTATTGATTGTTT